GGCGGAGCCCCCCAGCAGTCCCGGTGCGAAAGCCCCTCGCCCGAGAGCGGCTTCCCGCCCCGTCGATTAAGAAACGGCTGCAGAGCCTGGGGAGGTGGAAAGGGTTCCCTTAAGGGAGGATTTGCCCCCCGCTCCAGCAGGGAGTGAGGGATGCTGAGCTTCTCCCGGGGGGCCTTTCTGCCTTCCATGGCCCCTGCGGGGCTCTCCAGCACCGGTCCTTGCCCAGACCCTCCCTCTGATCCCGGCCAGCTTCCCCAGCCATTGGGGCAGCTCAGCTGGCAGTCGGCAGCCTGCCGGGAGAGCACCCTGGCTCTGCGATAGCTCTGCAGCTCGGGGAATCAGTAACAAACCAGCACCTTGGTTGGAGCGTACAGGTCCCTGAGTGAGCCTGCAGGGACCCCTGTCCCTGCCCTGGGGCCTGCTGGCCCCATGGGCGCTGCACCTGTCCTGTAGGGTGGTCGTTCTCCCCTACTCCTCCAGCCTGTACCCATCAGCTGGCTGATGCCCAGACTGGGCAAAGCTGCTGCAAGCCCCTGTCACCCTGAAGGACGAGCCTCTTCAGCTGTCTCCCAGCTGGCAGGAGCAGAGCAGGATGTGCAAGGAAGGGGCTCTGCTACCACCCAGAAAAGGGGTAATCAGGGACTGTCTCCCGTCTCAATTTCCAGCTGAGGAAAGTCAAAGGCTTGTGGGGATAAGGACCCAAGTACAGCACAAAGGTCTCCTGAAATCTTCAAAACGACATTTTGTTTCATGTCAGATTGATGTGCCTCCCCTGCCTTCAACCCGGGTGCTGCTGGCTGGATTTGATGAGGCTGACCTGGGAACATGGAGCATGAACCAAGGTATTCCTGCTCAGCTTTGCAGTCCAGCAAGAGGAATTGGTGCTGGTTGCTGGTTCCAGACCAGGCAAACCTCTGGGCTGAACTGGGACTGCTTTCCCTGGATGGTGCCTCCCTTCCTTTGTGCAGACATCTGCAGCCACACATATCCTTCACCCTCTGCCTGCTCCCCAGATCATGGTGCAAAATGAATGACACCCATGAAAGATGAAGCCTTCATTTGTAGCCCAGGAGACACTGTGGGTTGGGTTGACTTGTGCTGCTTTTACAGCCAGCTTTTCCCCAGCTGCCCTACCTGAACAAGGCCAAGCCCTGCGCTCCCGGGACCCTGTCTGTCTTCTAGCACTGGTGTTGCTCTAGGGGAACTGGTAGAGAGGAGTCAGCCCCTGCTCTGGTTCAGGCACATTCCCTTGTTTTGGGCACAGGACACAGCTTCCTGCCAAGACCAAGAGGAGCAATCTGGATGCAAAAAGAGCAGATTGGCTCCAAGGGCCATGACTCCCAGAGCTTCTCTCTCGACCATGTCCCTGTGCTAGCAACTGGACCAGCATCTGTCTCTTCCTGCAGCCAAAGAAGGCCATGTCCTGGGCATGGCAAATGGCCAAGGCAGAAGATGCCAGGGCATCAAACCTATCCTGGTCCTCTTGCCTGTCTTCAAGAGAGATTTCCTAGGGATGGTTTCTTGCAGCAACAGTAATTTCCCCACTTCTCCCAGCTGTGCCAGTAGCAGCAAGCTGGGCTCTCCCATTTTACTTGTGCTGGGAATAGATTACTTTTGTAGCCCCCAGGCTCTCATCCTTGGCACAGCACAACCTGGCTGTGCCACGCTGCAGTGCCAGCCTGGACCAGCTTTGCAAAGGGTCCCAACTCCCCAGCAGCTCATCCCAGCTCCCACAGCCCAGGGCAGAGCAGCCTGCTTGGCTGCCATATTGGGCAAGAGTAGAGATGGAAATGGGAGGCAGCACTGGATTATTTCAGACTCCCCTGTGGCTACTGGAAGCTGTTACTTAATGTCCCCTGCCACTTCACACAGCAGGCAACTTGTCCAGCCTGGCACCCTTTTGCCATTCAGCTTGTCACCCCAAAAGGAAGGGGGCGCTGGGAACCCCCATCACTCCTGAATGAGGAGGAATGGCTACCAGCTATTTGAGCTGCCACAGCTATGGATCTGCACTGATGTGCCGCAGGGATCAGTTCAGTGTCTGATTTCTCAGGATATAGCAATGGGCTGGAGCACAGACTTGGATTGCTGCATGGGATGGAAAGCCGTGCTACATTTCGGCGCTGTTAGGACCCATCTGTAAACCAGCATAGAGCTGGGAGCTGTAGGCGTTGGCACAGTGCAGGAACAACCTCCTTGATTAGTTCCCCACCTTTCTTGTTTCCCGCCAGCTTTGTGCAGCTCCAGCAGGCAGAGCTCAGTCTGAGATGGGTGGGCTCTGGGCAGGTCAACAGGGCTGTTTTTAGGAAGCTGGTACGGTCATGCTGGTGTAAAATGGGGGAAGGTATCAGACTTGAGCCCTTAAGGGGTTTTGAGAGGCCATTCTTGATGTATTGCCCAAATGCAGACTGCTCAGCACCCCATTCTTCTCCAGCTACCTGCAGCACCTCTGTGTGCATGAGTCCAGCCCTACAAGAGACTTTCAGCCCAGGGTTGTTCCTTGCTGGCCCCTGTCCTTACCCACCCTTTGTTTTTTGTTTTAACATCTATCCACCCCAACCCTGCCCTGCCAACCCTCCCTGGCCATCTGGTAGTGCAGGGCATCCTGCTGCAGAGCAGTAATGCCCAACAGGGCTTCGGGCTAGGAGCAATGTTGCTGCAGTTGGAGAGATGTGCTCCCTACAGTGTAGTCCCAGGCAAGCACAGACCCTCGGTTACATTGCAGATCCCTGGTTTTGATGGTCACTCTGGCTACTGTGGCTCTTCCAGCCACGTGGGGACAAGGTTTGGAAGACCAGGTTGGCTCTGCCTCCAGCTTTCTGTGCAGCACCAGAGCTGAGCAGCTGTGCCCCTGCTCCTCCCTCTGCCTGGGGGAGGCTGGAGGAATTACAGCAGTGTCCTCCAGCAATAGGAAAAATATTACTGCAGGGAAATGTCTTGGATTTGTCCCACTGAATTTCAGATGCCTACCTGAGGAAAGCAAGGGTGTGCTCGTTTTCTGCTCTCTGGTCCTGCACCCCATCAGGACTCGGCTCCTGAGCCAGAGAAGCCTCAGAAGGCTCTGATGTCCACCTTTGCTGGTTTTCTCTTCCTGGGATTCAGCTAAGGCTATGAGGCTGGTGGAGGCAGGACCAGAGGGTTTTGGTGGGGAAGTTCCCCTAGAGACATCTCAGCCTGTTTAAAGGAGAGAAACTGAGTTTCCACTAGGTCTGAGCCCTGTTGCTGGATAAAATGTTGAATGGACCAAAATTCTTGGTGCCCTCAGGTAGAATTTGGGACAATTGTGCTGATCTCCAGCTGAAAAGTTTTGATATTTCATTTCAAAGAAAATCAAAAGGAAAAATACAATTTAAATGAAGATGAAAACATGCATTTTGATTCAGAAAACCATCTTCTGCTGACCTGAAGGAACCAGCAATGAGGGATGGAGAAAGGGAGTCCAACTGCTCCATACATCTTTGGATTCTCTCCTAGGTCAGGGCAGATCTCCAGACGTCCTTACGGCTCTGGTGCACACATGGAGGGGTGAATTAAATTGCAGATTGATTTACCAGTTCCCCCTCTCCCAGCTCCTCTATGGGATCACTGTGCTCTGAATTTTTTTACACTCATTCCCCAGCCAGATAAATCCATCATCCGCTTGGCTGTGGCGAAGGCGATTCTGTTCCTTTCTTTCTGCCGCAGCGCTGCGGGGCATGTGGCTTTGCAGACAACTGAATTGCATTGAATTCCTGTGACTGCTTCCTTACCCCCACGTTTCCAGCTCGCTCCACAGACCCAGAGCAGTCCATCAGTGCCCGGGACTGTGCGCACAGGCTGCACGCTCAGCTCCGCACCGGCAAAGCGTGCCCTCTGCTGTCACCGCAGCTGCAAGACCGGCTCTCATCGCACCTCGCCTCCCTGGCTATCACCTACAAAATGCTCCCCAGACTTTCTTAGCTCTGCTTTCATCAGCAGGACAGTTTTGCCATGTATCACTACCTTGCCAGCAGGAAAAACGCCTTTTTCTTATATTCCAGCACTCAACCTGGTAGGGCCAAACTGTGATCTGGGAGCTGAGGCCATGAAATTCCTCATTCTGGCTCTGGACGTGCATCCCATGCTGCAGGGCAGTGAGGAATCCACCACAGCCCCGCAGCTCCTGCAGATTGCTGAAAACCTAATGGAGCAGCTTCTCTGTGGAGGGCTGTTGCTACCCCAGGAGATACAGATGAGCAGAGGAAGAGCAGTCAATCATGCCTGAATGATAGCGAGAAACAAGAGCTCAACAAGGGAGAGTAACTCCCACCGACTGGTACCCTGTGTCCCTGGGACGGGCCACGCGGAGAGCAGCGGTGTTGGGATCCTAGATGGACTTGCAACAGCCCCGAGAGGTTTCTGGTTAAAATGCTGTTTCTATAGCAAAACTTGAGCACAAATCCAAAAGAATTGGACTCTCCATTAATTACAGTCCTCTGGCATTTCTGCTCCAGGTAGCAAAGTGGGAGGGGAGGCAGGCTGTGGAGGTTCACAGAGGAGGGATCCTGCTACCTAATTTTTCCAATGATGTC